CTCAGTCCTGTTCAGTGCTTCCTTAAGGATATTGAACAGTTTTCACCTGCTTAAAAGTTTCACTGAGCCATATGCATCAAAGTCAAGATGAATAATGCCCAGAGAGAGATAATGTGACTATGATTATTTACAGCATCTCGTCTACCACAGGTTTAGAATCGTCGGAGTTTATGTGATTGCATTTCCTTTCTGGTGTTCTCTCTTCATTGTCAGCCAGAGCTGCCCTTGGACAACATTGTCACCTCATGGATTTTCTTAGTCTGGAATTGATAACATCAGCATATACCTACCAGCTCATGCTGTAATGATCTACTGCAGGTTACATTACTGTGTAGTAGATTGATGTGATTGAAAACTCTTAGCTCTGAAAAGAGTAAGACACAATGGATCCATGTAAGATAGTTGCAAACATTGACATGTTATTGATTCTCTGGTGTTCAGTGCTGATTTATTTCTGTAGGATGAGAGGGAGGATTTTATCAAATGTTCGCCACCTGAGTGATAAGGAGGAAATCATTTCTCAGTGCCAGGCTGTCAGTAAGTGTTCCATGAAGTTCTAACCAAGGGCAATCACTTTTTCGAACAAAGTAAACTAGTGGTATCCCTGGAGAGCGTGCATCTCAGGATGTGGGTGGGAGAGGAGTAGTGGTTTGCTTCCTCAATTTTCTACAGCCTTAATGTCTATTTGATATAACAGTTTAAGGTCAATGCAATGGCAGATCAGCTGTTTGAATATGAACTAGAGAAACTAAAATCAACTGTATCCCCTTCTTCATATACTATATTATATGTGTGGGTAAACATATATGTGCATGTGTATATATAAATTTATAAGTTTAAGGTGAAAAACACTCTCAAGAATAGAGAATGGATGACTGTCAAGAAATGTGATCTTTTCTGAGCCTGAAGTCTGTGAGCATGAACTAGAAATGCAGTCTATGATTTCAGCCTACTGGGCTGGTCTGCATTTTAGAAAGCAGATCACAGGAATGTGCATAATAATCACCTGCAGTTTTCCCTTAATGGCAGATATTCACAATTAAAATTGCCCATAATCTTAGTGGATTTTATAGGGCAAACCATGAATGGTCATGGGATTCATTTGTTGGGAAAGTAAAATGTAGGCATTTGTTGGGAAAGTAAAATGTAGGCATAGTCCTCCGTAAGAAAATCTGCCATGGAAAAGGTCAGGCTTCAGGAAGATAAAAATTAGACAGTGACCATGTCTATTCCTAAAAGATGTATCGGAACGTACCATTGGATACTAAGCATCATTCCACATCCGTTTATTATGGCATCACATTATTTGTGGTGTTATGGGTCATTAATGCCCATTACTATTCCTGAACACTTTACAGAAGCTCTTTATCTGTAACAAAAAAAAGTCATTTTAAAATTTCTTTTGTTGAATGTAACAAATGCTAGGGCGAACTGAGCAACAGTGAACAAGTAAGAATAAATTTATAGCTTCACAATCCCACTGCAGAATATGATCTCTATTAACTTCGGATGTATATGTGGTTCTACCTAGAGGACATACATGAATGAGTTTGTTCCCCTGGAACAAACTCCCTCCCTCTAAACTGTCACTTTCAGTCAAAATATTAACAAACAGCTGTTTCATCTTGGACTTTTAAAAGATATATATAGACTTTAATGACTATACTCTTTCCAAACTCTTTGCTTCTTCCAATCTGTCACTTATACAACTCTTACAATTTGCAATGATCACACATGCTCAGAGACCAGAAACTAAATCTGAAATATTTTGGAGTCTTAATAAATTATTGATTTTGTAATTTACTGGAGTTTAAGTGATATAATCTCCTGTTAAACAGATACGCAAGAGGAAATACAACAGTCCTTTTGAGTTTGTTATAAAGTCTATGAAATCCATCATGCTAGTTACAAAAGTATTTTTATTTTTCCCCACCCCTCCCCCAGCCCCACAAAATCATCCGTATGGCTTATGCATAGTTTTTGTAATCTGTTCATAATATATTAAAAAGCTTTGAGCCGTGATATAAGATTTGAAACTAAATTAAGCACTTTAGATAAAGAGTAAATATCTACCGTTTGCCTAACATCCCCACCTTTTGGGTCTTTTGGGGACAGTGTTTCTGTGGGAAATTAGTCTTGTGACAATAGCCAAAGAATTAGGGTTGAATTTCACACAATCTTACAAAACCTTCTACCTCTTATAGGCCTTTGATTCAGTCTCAGTTGTCCCATGAAGCTCTCTCTTCAGTGATGAGGAAGGTCAGGCCCTGTGATGTAGGGAAGCTGGGAGCAGGAAACACTTGTTCTTGTCAGTGACTTGTCTTGTGTAAAAGATGGTGTGAGGCAAGAGCAAAGAAAACCAGCTTCCATACAACAGAAGACCACCTCTTATCCCCCTGTGGCCCTAAAATCCTATCCCCACTTTTCCGGCAATTTGATTCTTAAACCCTTCCTGTGACTCCAGGAGCTATTATATCTTACTTAATGCCAAAACCTTCCTACTTGGACCTCTGTCCAAGATATAATATCTTATATTATATATATATATCTGTATAAGTCTCTAAGCATATCTGTGGATCATATTTGGATTTGAATATTATATATTACAATTGGTATTTAATAGGATTTTTAATATATATTTGACCTTTTCACATAGTATGCATCATGCATTGGGTCAGCATCCCAATATACAGGTACAGGATTATTTCTATTGTATGCAAAGTGTTGCATTATATGGCTATGACATCATTTTCAATCACTACTAATTAGCATTTCCTTATATTTACCATTATTATGAGTCACTCTGTGGAGACCATGTGACCACACTTTGTATCAATTCCTAATATGGGAATTTGCCAGGCTTTGTGGCCTATGCTTTTTTAGATCCATTAGAAGGTGTATAGAAACCTATCACACATGGAAAGGCAAGGCATATGCCATCGTTGCACAATGGAGAATGACCAGTGCATAGTTGGATTATGTAGCATTTATCCACACCTCTGTGCAGATTATACAACCTCCCAAACTTGTTGACATAAAATACATGTGTAGCACTATACTATTTATGGAAGGTTGGAGAACTTACGTACCAATTCACCTGGCATGCTTTTCTCAACTAATAATTTAAATTTTTAAATTGATTTATCTTACCTGCCTCACTTTTTTCCAACATCAGGGCCACACAGGGATCTAACTATATTAACTGTTCTGTCCCTTGACATTGCTTTATTATCTTATTTTTTCATGTCTTATCTTTTTTTTTCTTGAAATTTCAATATTGTATTTAGAAGAACAATAGCAGCCAAACAGTATTTAAACCCAGAAACAGTACCTCTTCTATCAGGTCATTAGTATGGGGGATTGAGTCTACTAAGTAGTTGAGCTTGGTTTGAGTTTGTCTTGTTGTCATTGACTTCAAGGCACCAGTGACTTCAAAAATGACAGCTCCTGCTGCTACTTTATTCCCAGGAGGCATGGGTGGCTGGAACCTGAGTGGCTGGGACTGATTGCAATCAGTGGATTCTGCATTTTGGGGTCATAAATTGATCTGTCCACTTTCTGTGCCCTCTCTAATGGTAGACAACTGCTGTCTGTTACTCACTGAGGTTCTTGATGAGAAAATGTAGTTCCTGTTTCTACACCAGCCTTAATCTTAGGTCACCCTGTGCTCCCAGACCTCACAGATTGCAGTTTTCTCAGGGCTACTGTCCTTCTCTCCAAGGAATCCAAACATTTCCTTCTGTGTGCTGGAATCTCCCTCTGGTCATTTTCCTACCTATCTCCCTATGAGAACAGATGTTTCTACATATCAGGAGAATTCTGTACCAAGCTGATTCCCTAGCAAGGAAGAAAGTTTGCTTCCACTTATCCGCAACAATGCACCTTTGTCCAAGCCTGATGATAGAAGTGTTTCTTGCCCTGCCCAGTCGGTGTTGACTGCTTTTTCTTGTCACTCAGTACAGTAGTAGTACTTTTATATCTCTCAGCTACAGTAGTTTAATAAGACTTTTGTTTCATATAAGAAGTGTTGGAGAAGCAGACAGGGTTTCATGCAGACGGAGCCATTCCACGAAGGGTGGCTCTTTTGGGCCCCAGGCCATGACTTTCTTCTTTCTCACAGGTATCAAACTCATGCATGCAGGGGAAATGTCATCGGCTGCAGGAATTCTAAACTGTCCCACCAATCACACTTAGTATTTAAGACTTTATCCAAAAAAAGTAACTATTTTCTTCTTAATCCTCTTATAATGGTAGCTGTCTCTTCCTCCTCTGCCATGAGACAGCTTGCCACTCTAGAATTTAATTGACTTCATTGCATGCAACTTCATATCTCTGATGAACTCAAGATAATTTATTTTGCAAATAATGTATTTTTCTCTCTTTGTGAGTATGATAGCTGTTCATTTT